TGAAAATGTGGAATTTTGCCAAGGTGGAGATTTGTTAAGTTTGGCAGAAATGTTTGTCCCACATCGGTGGGAAAAGAAGAGTTGGGGGGATTTCACCCCTATAAAAGAAGGCCTAATGTTTAGGATTTAGACACACCTCTCATTTGCCTTCTTATCTTCTTAAGGCATTTGTATCTTCTCTCTTTAGTATTATTTCACTTGTATTTTTGGAGTGGAATAAAATATTGGTTGTGTCCGAGGAGTAGGCAAAATTAGCCGAACCTCGTAAATTCTGGTGTTTCTTTTATTGTTGCTTTATTGTCTTATTTATTATTTGGTGGCTGTCATAATTTTTGGTATAGTAGTTGTGACTTATTTACACTATATATATTTGGCTTCCGCAACAAAAATAAAGGAGGAATAGAGGGAATGACATTAATAGTTGCAGGATCCATCTTTATTGATTCAAGAAAGACGATTACAAAGATTTGTCGCCAAGATCTGCAACTTCTCGTGTTTTTCTCCTATAGCCTTCTCTGGTTCTTCTGCCTTTCTCTTCTGTAGGAGAGGGACCCCCCTTTTCTTGTTGTCCTTTCCCTACTTATATAGTAATTGTTCCCTTTTATCCAACGCTTCTTGGCCAGAGGGCCTTAGTCTGTTCGTTGTGCGTTGGGTCGTCCCCCTTATATGTCACGACATGTGCCTCATTGTACAAGCTTTTAGATAGTTCGATCTCGGCAGCGACCGGAATACTCGTTATTATGACGTCTTATGAATACAATCATAGCTCAGTCGACTCCTCGCCATTCCTTTTAATGCTGATCCACACGTGATCAGATTTCGACTCATACAATGTTGATAAAATTGACATCCACTCCAAAATTGTCGATGTCCGTCACTTTTTTGTGGAGGAAGACATATGAAAACGATCACATTATCACTTCATAATTCACAGGACACGTGCTGTTATGTGGTTGCTGTGCGACAACTTGTGAGGTCTAATAAGTTGGACAGCTTGGTTTAAAGACGAATATTATTAGAACAAACAGGATTGTGATAAGAAATATTGTTTGATAATGTTTTTCTACCTTCTAGAATTTACATTATTTTTCTATTAGTTTAGTGAAAGTAACAAATTTTTCTTCTTCTCAATCATTCATTTTTAGCTCCATACTCGAAAAATGTAATTACGGGACAGGAAAACCATTTTGCTAAGATATCAGACAGGTCGAAAGTATGCTTATAGACGACTAGCCTCGGACTGGCCCAGATCGATATGTAGTTTTCTGGGCAAAATCTGGAGAAATACTAAGAGTAATTTTTTCTCTATTTTGAGTTTATCAGCTTATGTTTCTTTAACTAAAATTTCCTTTTTATGATTTCAATTTGAGTTTAACAACTGTCTATTCAAAATTCTTTCAATTCACGTTCAACTGCGTGTGTATGTGGCTGTTTATGTGTGTCAGAAAATTAGCAGGAAACTCAGTAATAATGAACAAAAGTCAACAATCAATAGTAAGGCACCGGCAGTCTACAACACCTCAAACTCTAGACTCAAAACTTTTACAGTTAAATAGTATTGGATCTCAAAAAATTAAGAAGCTTAAGAATTGCCAGCAAAATAACAGAAATGAACCAACAATTTCAGTAATGAATAAGGCATCATTACATTAGAAAGAGGGATGGGCTTTTCCAGGCATCTTTTGAAAAATTTCTTTCATTACAACGATCAGTTAGAAGAAACAACTACACATTCGACAAGGAGAGCATATCAAATAATTATGAATAGAAGAAAAGTGGTTACACTAAATTTTCTCAACACATTAAATCAGTTACGTGATTAGTTCACCTTTAAAACAACAAGAGTTGCACGAAAAGAAAAAGAAAAGCACACCAGTATCAACCAAAACAAATCAAATCCCAAAAAAATGCCTACGGTTTAGGAAGGTGACATATAGCTTCTTAAAAATTAAACCATATTTATATTCCTACAGGCTCGTTTGGTTGGAAATAAGTTATCCCAGGATTAATTATCCCGGGATTAGTTACCCCATCCTTTCACAGAGATAAAAAAATACTACAATCCCACGATAACTAATCTCGAAATTAATTATACCACAATTTTCTACCAACCCAAACATGAGATAAAGCTCTTCTTAAATTTAGGCCCGGAATTAATTATTTCTTATCCCTCGTACCAAACGAGCCCTAAATAGATAGACTGGACATGTAAGGAAATTAATTCTTAAGCTACAGGCTAAAATCAATAAACCAAAACTCCAAGATCAAAGCAGAAAACTTAAATACAAGAACAACAGATGAAGACTACACTAACAGAGAGAAGCTTTGATTGAATATGATGTGATCCAGTACCCAATGTACTAGTAATCTGTTACAACCAAGTATAGATGAGTAACCCACGAGTCTCCCAAAAAGACACCAATCGACATAAGCAGCTCAATGCACAAAATTTCCAAAGTCACAAATCGTAATAAAACCCCAAAAAAGAAGACACAGCAAAAAAGATGATCTAGCCCTTTCCAGAATAATATGATCCAAGAAGCAAAGCCTCTGCCAAGCGAATTAGGATATCAGGATATCTTTGCCTTAGAGAAGTCCATTTCTGGATGCTGCAGCACATCAAGAACAACATGAGTCAAGCTCACTGATGAGGAGAACTGGATAAAGGAGACAACAAATAATACATGAAATCAACTTTTTACCTCTGCCATAAATTTCTTGAGAATTTCTTGTTTCTGTGTCTCATCACTTGTTGGAAGACCCATTGATTTCTGTCGCTGATCAAACTGCAAAAAGCATTTCCCATCAAGCAAACAGAAGTAACTAAAATCATACCCAATACCACAAGGAATAAATAACAACAAACGGGATATCATGAAGAAGCAACTAAAGTTGTAGGAGGCGAGACAATTAACATTTCAAATAGATGGTCTATCTCATAACCTCATACCAATTACCAAGTGTGAATCAGTTTGTTAGTTGCCAACATAGGCTTCAGGGATCACAGGATACCCCATTATCTCCAAGCAAGAAAGAACTAAAACTAATGAATCTTAACCGGGATAAACTTAAAGATTTCGGAATCTGAAATTACGCTTTTTTACTAATCCAAGCTACCAATTTGGCATACAAAATTTTAGAAATTTATGAAGCTATGGCCTATGTGAAGTGTATTAATTTCTAGAGTACTTCTCAGCTACAGGACATGGCACGACTACAGATTTCCGAGGACATGGCTCTGGATAGGAAGGGGTGGAGGTCAAGCATTAGGGTTGTAGACAGTGTTATCAAAGGCGAAAAGCGCAAAAAAGCTCTAAGGCCCGTTGGGGCTTTAAGCAACAACAACAACAACAACAACAATCCAGTATAATCCCACTTAGTGGGGTCTGGGGAGGGTAGTGTGTACGCAGACCTTACCCCTACCCTGGGGATAGAGAGATTGTTTCCAAATAGACCCCCGGCATCCTTCCCTCCAAGAACTTCCCACCTTGCTCTTGGGGAGACTCGAACTCACAAAAAAGGCGCAATTGGAGAAAAAATCAAAATATGTATATGCAGTCCAAGACCAATAGCATGAATAACAAATATATGGACAAAACAATTGAGAACAAAATTACGATAAAGTGAAATATCAATTGTTTAGTGTCGCATCTTCAGGATTACACTTATTGGCAAGGAAAAGTATGCCTTAGAACCTTGATGCGACACTAAAGCGCCCGCAAAACGAGTCGAAGCGCTCAACATGTTTTGAGCCTTGGTTTAGGGCTTAAGCGCGCCTTTGACAACACTGGTTATAGGTTAGGAGGGAGTTGAGCATTCTTTTTTTTCCTTTGTTGTTCGGGGGGCGGGGCTGGCCTGTTGATGTTTCGGTTGTAGGTTGTTAGTGGTTTATGTAATTTCCTCACTATTTCCTATAGTAGTATTGTTGTTTATAGTTATCGCTTTTACATCTATTTTTCTATTTCTTACGATGCTGTTACTATTTTTTATCTTCTATTGTCTAAAGTTTATTGTTTATTTTACTTCTTCTCGAGCCGAGGGTCTTTCAGAAACAGCCTCTCTACCCCTCCGGGGTAGGTAAGATCTGCGTACACTCTACCCTCCCCAAACCCCACTTTTGGAATTTTATTGGGTTGTTGTTGTTGTTGTTGTTCTCAGATATTGCTTACACAAATCACTTCAAAATTTATGTAGAAACGCTTAATCACGTTTTTTGTACCCTTAATTTGTGAGGTGCAAGTGTACACAACAGTGTTTAGAATTAAGCTTCACGAAAAAGTTTTACACCTTGATATACTAGAAGGCATTACTTTTGATCATAAGAGGTGGGCCCCCAAAATTGCGGGCTTTAAAAAACATCGTCATAAACTTTTGTAAAATATAGGTATGCCAAAACAGGTAAAAACTAAAGATGACATCATACCGTCTTACAACCACTTCAAAGAGTATGTTTTAAAGACAAGCACATAATTCCACACTTCAAATTTGAACAGTATGTTTTTATTGCCGAATGCACTACTCCACATTCACAAGAGGGCCTCATCAGAAACAGTACTAAGGATTCTGTTATTGGACATAGGACAATGAACACCTCATAAATCATAATATACATGATATGTGCACAAAGCATGCTAAACCATACCATGAGAATCAGGTAAAAAATCACGCAACCAATTATGTCAACAAAGATCCAGATCCAGAGTGAGCATAAAAACAAATGATCTCAATGGTTTATAAAATATTGATGACAGAATAAAATCCTACCATCATCTTTTCCACAGTTGATCGCGTCTCGGGGTCCAAATCTGCTAGCTTGCTACTTTCAGGCTCTGCTTTCTGTGTATCAATTTCAGGCTCACCTTTCACACAACACTTCCACCATTCCATCTGGTCCTTCTTAGTTAGGAGTACAGAGATTGATTTCTGGTCCTCTGCAAATATGTTAAGTGAATATTATTTGCCATTAACAGCGCTAAAACATTGTTATCCAACAAGACTCCACTAAGGTCTACTTTGGAACTCTTTAAGCACAACCAAATAGTTTGAGGAAAAAACCCGGGATATCAGCCCAACTGTATCAATGAGACAAAGATTGAAGGAAACTATAACATACCAAGAACCCCACCAAGCAAGTAAAACAAATGAGCAACTTACCTAAGCTCCAGAAACAATCATCAACTTTCACAGGTCGATAAAGTTCTCCCTGCATGCCCAAGGGAATGGAGATTAATATATAGCAACGGCAAATTTTGACAATGCAATTTGAGAGGAAAATACAGCAAACAATATGACAACTACCAAACTGGAGAATACACTTACATCAATTATTGGAGGCTGACCTTTTAGTCCAACTTTCAGACGGTTCTTTGATATATCACAAACAATAAACCTTGATTTTGTTCCATGGGGTACCGGAATATTAACATTGACTTCCTGGAGGGATTGATTCCATGAATAGTTCTCAAGATCAAGGCCATTGCCTTTGTTGGGAGCTGCAGAGGTAATTGAGAAGTAATGGTAATACAAAACAAGATATCTTGCAGCAATAGCAAACAATACATATAGCCCAATATAAAATGCAGCAAATAGTACCAACACTTCACATGCAATTGAAGTTTATTGTAGTGAGATGACAAACAATGATATAGCATGTAAGTGAAGTCAAAGGGTCATCAAGATCTATATCATTAGTTCATGAAAAGGTATACAAGGCTAAAATGAAAGTAATTACCGTTCTTTGATAACCATATAAGATAAAACAGGATAACAAATAAAAAGAGATAATGCCAGAATGACGATATGAGCTAATTCCAGAAAAATAATTTTAAAAAGGCTTATTTCAGCAATTTTGCAAAATATCAAGAAAAATAGTAAATTTCTCAGATCATTTAGCAAGAAGCAGCAAGCAAGACAACTTTTTAATAAGGGGTTGTTTGCTAAATTCATTTGAGAATAAAGGCGCGTCTGATGAGTTAAGCTACCACTTAAAATGCATGAATTTTTTTTTTAATATACAAACTTTATCCATTGCAAACTGAAAATAGGGCATGACTACATAATCCACAACAAACTTTTAATCGCCAACAATTGTTTAAAGAAATTTCAGAATGACCATCTAACTAGCTGTTCATACATGATATATTATTTTGATAAATAATATAACATTAAAACTATCAATAGAAGTTAATCATAGATAAAACATAAACCAGCTCAACCAGGTGTGAAATCCTTCTTCGTCCAACTAATATAACCCTCTTCAATTTTGGGACGTCCCTAAAAAGTTAATACCCTTCTATTTCTCAGAACTTCCACAATTTTCAAGAATCCAAATTCTTCAAACTACTCAAATCCTAACATTTGATCACTATCACTAATAAAGTATATAAGTTACATTTACCATACCAACACCCAAGTTTAACAGCTCTAACGTCTTGCCTAGGCATGTACCACCATATAAATAGGTCAGAGGGAGCATGTTTTTGGGTTTCAAGTTTATACGAACACCAAGTGTAACTCAGTTTTAGTATTCGGTGTTTATTATTATACTTCATATAAGACAAGCTTACTTTTTTTCTTTTCCTAATACGAGATTAATCTGTAAAACTTATACAAATGCAGCATCAGCTTCAGTTAACTATAGTGAAAACGCATCACATTACTATACAAAGGTACTATATATAAGGAACAATACATTCAGTAAAGCAACAATCACGTTGAAGTGCCCAAGTATTCAGAAGTCTATAACTTTTAATCCCAAAATCCAAACTGGAACAAACTTAGTCAGCCAATGTAGCAGTATATCAACAATCATTCCCAAGGAATAGGTCGTAATGTAAATCCCCTATATCCATTCTGCTCAATTTCTGCCTCTTTCCTTTACTACCCAATTATTTGTTCTTTTCGAATAAACAGAACCCATGCCAATGTATCATATGTTAACTATTTTTACAGATCAAGCAAATTACCTCGAGGGCCCTTCTTGTCATCCTCCTTTTCCTCCTTAACTTCCTTGGCTTTTACCTCTTTAGCCTCCTTCTTTGTAGCAACAGCTGGAACCTCCTCTTTAACCTTCTTTTCGGCCGCCACCTTTGTGTTTGATGTTTCTGCCTTCTCTTTCTTCTTGCGCTCCTCGGCTTCCAACTTGTCTTTCACCATACGAACAACAGCACTGACATCACTAATAAGCGAATCACTCTTGAACAGATCAGATTCTCGGCCAACGAATTCAAACGCCGTTTCGAGAAACCCTAGAGGGTTAGCAGGATCAAGCACGGCCTTGAAGGGCTTTGTCGGCGTTGACGCAGCCGCCGTCGGTGATGGTTTGTTCTCTTGCTCCTCGTAATCGGAAATTATCGCCATGGATTGATCAAGATGGGGATTAGGGTTTTGTTTTAGGTTTGAGGAGAGTAGTATATGAACCAAGACTGGAGAGGAAAACGAAGGGTAGAGTTTTTCAGTCAAATGTAAGACAGCGTGGAGAATTCCAGAACGCTTGGTCTAGATTTAGAAGATCACTTAGTATTTATAATTATTATTGAGGTAAATGGAAAAAATATGTTACTTTCTAGAAATTTATACTAAGAGCCCGTTTGGACATAAAATTTTTCACTTTTTTCCAAAAAAAATTCAATTATTTTTGAAATTAGTGTTTGACCATAAAATTTTCAACTTTTACTTAGAAGATTTTTGGAATTTTTCTAAAATTTAAAAAACTACAAAAAGTTATTTTTTAAAATTTTCACTTAGATCACTCACAAAACTTCAAAAACAACCCAAAAATTCATGTCCAAACACAACTCTAATTTTCAAATACCACTTTCACTTGAAATTTGTTTTCACTTTTTTTTTGGGAAATTTTACAATTCTTATGTCCAAACGCCTACTATTAAAACACCTTGGAAGTGGCCTCTTTTTTGGGGTTTTGAAACAGTTACCCACAAAAACAAAACTATTTACCATTGTCTACCTATTTATTTTTCTACCCATAAACTAATTACATTTCTTACCCATAGTAATTTTTGTGGGGAATTTTTTCTTTATTTTTCAATTCTTTTTTATTTCTATGCTTCTTTTCTTTTTCTTTTTTTTTTCTTTTTTTTCTTTTCTCCTTTTCTTTTTTCTCGGTTTCTTCTTATTTTTTTATTTTTTCCTTTTCTAATTTCATTTAAAATTTTTTATATTCTTTTTTTCTTCATAATCTAATTTCATTTATTATTTTCACTATTTTTTATTATTCTTTTAATTATACTATTACTAAAGAAAAATTAAATTGTGTACCAATTAAATGTAGCTAATACAACTAAAAAATATTAACTAACATATGATACCGGTATAGTATATAGCTATACCAACAGGGTATACAATTGTACGTAAAGAGTTAAAAAAATTTAATTTAATTATTAAACTAAAATAATATCATTTGTCAATAAAAAATTCAAAAAATTCTAAAAGGATCTAATTGTAAGAGTATACCGTTACATTATACTATAAAATTTTATTTTATTTTGCATTTTCAATTTGCTCCTCACGCTGGGTAAAAGCTTAAAGCAAATTAAAAGGAAAAAGATAAGTGAATTTATGTGTAATAAGTATACTATTATAGTATATAATATACTATTATAGTATATTATATACTATTATAGCATACTATTACAATATATTGCATATTATTACAATATACTATAATAATATATTGTACATTATAATAGTATACTATTGCAGTATAGCTATATACTCTTACAACATGTTGTATACCGTAGCGGTATACTGTAGCTGTGTTCTTCTTCAATTTTCAACTGAAAAATTCGATCTCAATCACCTCAAATCAGCTCCGAATGCTATCATATTTCAGTATGAACTTCCAGAAGGTATTAAAAGCAATATTTAACAATACCCACTTTTAATCAAACAAGAAATCTTCAAAATAAAAATTTTAAATTCAAGGGCCAAGGCAAGAGCAAGATCTAAGAAAAGAACAATCAAGAAAAAGTGGAGCAGAATTGAAACTAGCCAGAGATCAACTTCTCAGATAATCAGATCTAATTTCTTTTTGAAGAAGAATATAAGAGAAATGGAAAAGTCTGTCTAAGTCTTCTTCACGGAGGCAAACTTTATCCAAGTCATTGACATCTGTGTGTGTCAAAAGGAAGAGTTTGTGTGCAAAAACTAGCTGGGGTTGTTGTGTTCCTTCTTCCGCATCTATGGCTACCTTTTTCTTTGCTATTTCTTGTTTTTTTTTGTTTCACTGTACTTGTGGAGGAGTTTATACAAAAATCGGGTAAATAGTTTGGGACGCATGGGTAGGAGTAGTAAATAGTTTGGGACGCATGGGTAGGAGTAGTAAATAGTTTGGGCCTGGACACTAAAGGGTAAATAATTTGAAATTGATGGGTGTAAAGTGAGATTTTCTCCTCTCTTTTTTTCCCCTAAAAGTGGCCTCTTCAATTAACAAGCTCAAGGGGTGTGTTTGGTAATGAAAGAAAATGTTTTGCAGAGAAAATAATTTTCTCCAAAAATAAGCAACTTTTTTACTTATTTTATGGTAATTGGTTAGTAGAAATATTTTTTGAAAACTATAGAATTTAGGGAAACACTATGGAGACAGAATAGATAATGACGGAGAAAGGAGTTAGGTGGTCCGATTTCGGGTCTAGTGTCGGAATCCAAATTTCAACAGGGTTGGGGTCCAAGTCCGAGTTAGGATCAGGGTCAGAATTCAAGATAGGGTCTAGGGTTCGTGCACTACTAGAAAATGTCAAATTTTTGACCACCAAAATCCGTCAAAAATCGATCAAAAATCTATTATTTCGGACGAATTTCAAGTGATCGAAAAATGATGGTCATAAAATATTTGCGATCGAATCGGACGGAAACTTCCGACTCTTTTGGCCGCAAAAGGAAAAGGTTGAGTTTACCGAATAAAATAAAAGTTTGCCACCATTTTGATCGGTAAGTTTGCGACCGATTCTGTCGCACAATTAACAATAAATATTAATCAAATAATTAATGTTCCGACTGATTTGGTTGGTACTTTAAATAACTAATTATTATTTTATTCAAATATTCCGACTGAATCGATCGAAAATCAAAAAATTAATTAAATACTTCAGTCGAAAGCTGGAAATTTCCAGGTCTAGTTTCCAACCAAAGTGGTCAAAAATCAGTCACACATTTTGTTAAAATACAATAGAATTTTGTTGTATTTTAAGCTACACTCCCTGCCAAATCGACCAACCAATATCACAAATGCTCAATCAATTGTGCCTAAAAATCAAGTATCAAACTAGTTTAAACCACATCAAAATCTAAAAGTTTCAACCAAAAACATGCAACCAAGTCTAAAATGAACCAAGTCGAAATCAATCAAGTCTAAATATCATAGTAAACATTCCAAATTACCACTCCTCCTTATTGGTTTCAGTCTTCTCATTGTTAGATCCTTCCATTGTACGTTGGTGTAACGACCCGGCCGGTCGTTTTAAGAATTTATGCCCTGATCCCCTATTAACTACCTTCCTCGTGTTTGTTTCTGCTATTGTGAGTTGTCGGGGGGAATTATTGGGAGTTTCGGAGAGTTTTGGGATACTTAGTCCCTAAATGAGAGCTTAAGTTTTGGAAATTTGACTGTAGTCGGAACAGTGTGAAGACGGCCTTGGAATGGAATTCTGATAATTCCGTTAGCTCCGTGGGGTGATTTCGGGTTTAGGAGCATGTTCGGATGGTGTTTTGGAGGTCCGTAGCTAATTTAGGCTTGAAATGCCGAAAGTTGAATTTTTAAAGTTTCCGGTTCGATAGTGAGATTTTGATCCGAGGGTCGGAATGGAATTCGGGAAGTTGGAGTAGCTCCGTAGTATAGAATATGACGTGTGTACAAAATTTCAGGTCATTCGGACGAGGTTTAATTGACTTTTTGATCGAAAGCGTATTTTGAGAGTTTTTGAAGTTCTTAGGCTTGAATCCGATGCTAAATTGGTGTTTTGATGTTGTTTTGACATTCTGAAGATTGGAACAAGTTTGAATGGTGTTTTAGGATTGGTTGGCATGTTTGGCTGAGGTCCCGGGGGCCTCGGGTGTGTTTCGGATGCTCAACGGGTCATTTTTGGAACTTAGAAATTTGCAGAAAAATATTGCAGCAGTCAGTTCTGGTTTCCTTCTTCGCGTTCGCGAGTGGGGTCTCGCGCTCGCAAAGAGGAGCTAGGTTGGGGAGGAATTTATGCTTCGCGTTCGCGAAGTGTCGCCCGCGTTCTCTAAGCTGGGAGTTCTATACCTACGCGTTCGCGATGGTGTTCCCGCGTTCGTGTAGGAGGAGGAAGTTTTGCATCGCTTTCGCGATGAAGATATTTGGGCCCAAGTGAATTTGTGCTTCGCGAACGCGAGGGTCCTTCCACGTTCGCGAAGAAGGAATATCTGGGCAGTATTTAAATAGCCCATCCGCGATCCTTCTTTATTTTTCCACAATTTTTTAACGGGATTGAAGCTTTTGAGGGTGATTTTTGAGGAAACCAAAGGGGAATCACTTGGAGGTAACATTTTGACTTTATAACTCGTTTATATATGATTAAAGACCTAATTAGTGGTGAAAAAATTGAGAAAAATGGGTAATTAAGGCTTGAGACTAAGAGACCTTAAAATGGGTATTTGAGGGGCCAATTGAACTTATATTTTAGTGTTCTTGTTATGTATAGACTCGTGAGAGTATGGGGATTCTGAAAATGAAAATTTCACCTGATTCCAAGATGTGGGCCTGAGGGGCATTTTGGTCATTTTACCTAATTTCGCGTATTAGCTTAGAATTTATTTGTAGAATCAGTTACTTGAAGTGTTATTTATATTATGCAATTAAATTGAATATATTTGGGCCATTTGGAGTCGAGTACTCGTGGCAAGAACGTGGTTTCGGGTTGACTTTTGAGCCGGTTCGAGTTAAGTGGCTTGTCTAACCTTGTGTGGGGGACATTCCCCTTAGGATTTGATATTGTGGTAATTGAAATGTCTTGTACGTGAAGTGACGAGTGCGTACTTGTGCTAATTGTTGAAAATTCTGTTTTCACTTAAGTAGCTTTAATTGGGTTTTCCTTTCTTGCTTACTCTACTTGAAATTTAAATCTACTATTAGCTTAGAGAAGCATGTTTAATTTACTTAATTGCTTTATTGTCTAAACTGCCGTAATTGTATTATGTGAAGCATGTTAGGTTAGAATTACCTATTTTACTTGGTACAAAATTTAGCTTAATTGAGTATTCCTTGTGTTGTTGCTATGTGTTTTACTTTGCGACTATGGGATGGCATCCCGGGAGATCCCCTGTACGTATTTATGATTTAAGTTGAGGTGAGGGATACCGAGAGATCCCTAGTATGTATATTGAGGATACCAAGAGATCCTCGGGATACCAAGAAATCCCTAGTATATATTGAGGATACCAAGAGATCCTTGGGATACCAAGAGACCCCTGGCATGTATTGAGGATACTAAGAGATCCTCGGGATACTGAGAGATCCC